GTTGTTGAACATAACAGTTTCGACGTTTGAGGAGGAGGATTTTGGAGTTTCAATTGAAGATCCGTTGGTGTTTGTCATGGATGGTATTTGATGTTGCTGCCGGGAATGAGATAAAGGCTAGGATGGCTGATGAATACTGCCGGAATAAGCAGTGTAGAATGCTGCTGGAAAAGCAGTAGATAGAGAACTGACCTAGGACGGCTTTGGGAAGAACAGGAGGCGTCTAGGGTTGCTCTGATACCATGTGAATAATTGGGTTTGAATGACCTGTATTTTTCTATTCCAGCAGAACATGTCTTTATATACAATTGGAGTCCTAAACGTTAGGACTTGTTCCCTGTTTTAGAAGAGAAAATCTTGCCTAATCTATTCTAAATAAGAAAACAATTATATAGCTAATTACACCTGATTTGTAGCCTAATTTATAGCTAATTTACATCAAAGAATCCCAACAGTTTGTTTGGCTCTACATTCTCTAGTTTGCCAAAGAAGAGGGGAAGGTTGTTGTGAAGATGTGTAAGAGCTGCCATAGTGTGGACCATATGGAAAGAAAGGGATGCAAGAATATTTTCAGACAAGGAAGGAAGTAGAGAGGCCATTATTGTTTATTGAGACAATCAATGTCAGGGCTGTTCAATGGGAAAAATCCTTTAAGTGCTTGGCTGACTTTTCATTAAGTGACATGTTGAGAAGTTGGAAGTGGTTAGCTCAGATCGACATAAATTTGTAACTACTCCTTGTTTGTCCCCTCCGCTCCATGGCTTCATAAAGCTGAATTTTGATGGGAGTAGTGCAGGGAACCCAGGTCCCTCACGTATTGGTGGTGTTTTCAGGAATGAAGAGGTGTGCGTTGTTGGTCTATTTTCTGGGCCAATAGGTGAAGAGGATTCATTAAGGGCAGAGATCTTGGCTATGATGGAATGGGTGCAAAGAGCAAAGGACATGAACATCAGTAAATTGAATATAGAAGGAGATTCAAAGTTGGTGGTGGGATGGTTGCAAAAAGGAAGAGGCTGGACTGTGGACTTATAACAATGAAAGGAAGAAGTTTAAATGGCTGACATGAGACATGGATGTGAGAGTTAGTTGGGTTAAAAGAACAACTAATGGTTTTACTGATACCTTGGCAAAACAAGGGGTGGGAAGAAATCAATTGTTTTGGGCTCAATTGTAATTTTGCATTATTTTTTTTAGGAGAGTTAAGAGTTTTTATCTCTCACCCTTTGTAATTTGATTGTTCTGATTTAATGAAATTTGAAGTTATAGATCAAAAACCAAAGTACCTTGACTATAATTCCTCAGCCATCACACTATCACCTAGGAGTTCCTTCTACCACTATATTACTGAGATTAAAAGTTTAACGCAACCTTGACCCCTGTAGTACAACTAGCAATTAGACTTGTGTAGAATTTCCCAACTTACAGGCCTTGAAAAGATGGCTACAGTGGTTTTGGATTTGTTTCTAAAAGGTCCTATGCCAAAATTACCAGGGTTCCTCATGCTACATCCATTAAAGTTTAACTTGGTTCAAGGCTGGTGGGTACCATTCTACAAAGGTGCTTGGGCTAGTTGAAGATGAATGAGCCCCACAATGCTGCCCTCCCAAGATATCATCTATGGAGAGTGGTGCAAAGATATCTAGTTTTTATCCAATGCACCACCTTTATTCTTAATGATAGCCTCCTTGGCTTGTGACTTTTAATTGGAAGTTCTTGTGTTCTTTTCTTTCCGTAATGACTGTAGTATTGACTGTATAGCTGACTTTATGCATCATCACGTTGTCTTCTTTATTTTCTTGGGTGAATTTATGAATAGATGTCATAAATAGGCTTCCTATGTCTCCTAGTGTAATCCATCTACAAGAAAAGAGTGAAAATAACCAATCCATGATGCTGAAAGTGAAAGCTGCAGGTGATTAGTACTTGGTAGATAGAAGCCAAATTAACAGCTTTTCACTACAAAGAAAACACTTCTTTGGTTGCAAAACCAGGACTTCTCTTTTGAAGCGTCTTACAGGTGTTGTTTTCGAAGTGGAATACCTCCTAACATAAAGCTATGATCTTGGGTGGAATCCGCCTATTCCACATGAATCTTACCATAAAAGGCTTGTGGTATAGAGGTTGACTCAAAAGATCTATAAAGAAGCACAAGAGAACTATCATGAGGATTGGAGGACCAACTATTGGTGTCTGGTTTTGGAAATTGGTAATGCACCTTTCAAGGAGTCAATAAGAGCTAAACTTATGAGTATTCAAAATCCCCTAATCTCTTCTAAGACTCAAATCCCATGATAAAACCCATATTGGATCCAGAAGCAAGGAAAAGATAGGTGTATGCTTATGGGAAGGAATGGTATAGATGAGAGGGAAACTATCTTTCAATGGTTTATCTCACTACCAGAGATCATTTCAGAATTTAATTTCTTACCAGAACAAACATTATACTGAAAATGTTGTAAAAGGATCAAGGTTTAAAATGTCGATGTCGATGGAAATGTCGCTTACCAAAATATAGGACATATGTTGGAAATGTCGAGGAGAAATATTGTCAAAATTAGAGACATTGTGGAAATATTATGAAATATGTGGAAATATGCAAAGATATTTTGTAAAATGATAAAAGAAGCATTAATACATATTTCTAGACTATTATCTTATTCCCAAC